GGGGGGGGGGGGGAGAGAGCGAGAGAGGGGAATAATACTGATCCACATGCTTCATAATAACTGAAGCAATCTTAACCTGTAATTTCAGATTACAAACTAAAAAACATGTAATCGCAGATTTTAAGGTGCGGAGGAAGGTTATTAACAACGCAGAATCATACGTAGTAGCACCAAGCTGCCACAAAAAAAAAATTACGGCAGATACCTCAATATCTCTTTTGATGCAGAACTTCCAATATTCATGCACCAATCAAACTGCTAACAAGCAAAAGTCAAAAAACAGCAGGCATTGGTTACAGATTCCATAGACAAATCAAAAACGGCAAATGGGTGAATACTACCCTGAACATCCATCGAGTCCATATGAGAGTGTAATATGCATTTCCATAGTGACATAATCAGATGTCTCCATAGTGACATAATCAGATTAACTTTGAAATCTGAGCACATTAATACTATACATCAACTAGGTCAAGTATTATGACTTGTTCGCCTTTGATGCCGTTATTTTTTTCTCTTCACTTATTCAATTTCTTCAACAATTGATATGATGATATGGAACAAACAAACTGGAGTTAAGAGTGTGTCTTGCCGACATGCTAGCAACAACCACAACTCCAGCTTTATAAATTATTTATGCTAAAACTGGTCTAGATTCACCTAATCAGAAGGTGTCACACATGAGAACCTCCAGAAAAAGCAAACCAAGTATACACAAAAACAAAAAAGCATAACCAACCAAAAATTAAAGGTGCTACAGCTTGCCTCAGTTTTTATGCTGCATCCTCCCACTTTCTGCACCAGCATATGGATCAATTGTAACGTTTATGACAGCAGGCTTCCGTGCAGAAAAAGCTTCAGAAAGCGCCGATTTGAGTTCATCAGGTGTCCCAACAAGATAACCCCTTCCCCCAAAAGCTTCAATTAGAAGATGATATCCAGCACCAAGGACAAAAGAAGTCGGTGCTGGATCATCCTTGTAAGGTCCTGTAATTTCTTCAGGGTTCCTCCGGTCACCACCATATACACCATTATTGTTAAAGACTATAACCACCACAGGCAACTGATATCGAACCAATGTCTGCAGAGTTCAAAGAAACACACAGCATATAATTTTTTTCTGCTCAGAAGGAAACCATATATGTCAAGATAATGGTGGCAAAAAGAATATGATATAAGAATGAATATACAAAAATATGGCCCAAGAACGAGTTGGGGTGAAAAAAGTGCAACTTTCATAAGTTTAAGGCTTCCTGTTTGTGCAGCATTTGGGATAAATGAATTTTATAGAACAAAAGCAACATGGAAAGAATGTCGCACAAAATAATTAATTCACAAAGAAGAGAAAGGAAAAGATATATCACTGCCTAGCAATCAAATATCGGTATGAATTGGCTTCATAAAAGAACACCTAAGTGATGCGTAGTTAAAAATATATTTTTATATGCACACACATATAAAAGGCACACTGGTTCTACTTAAAATTCGGCCCAACAATATTGAGATTGTGGGCCTGAACAATGTAAAAGGTTAGGTTTGTACCCACCCAATCTATAAGAGAGGACGCTATAAATGAGAACTAAATGGGATGTGATTTATAAAGTAAGACAGATAGACTTGCACATTTACTGCAGTCTTGGAACAAAATTTCTAGTTTTTTCCTTTTTTTTTAAGTTATAATTTAATTTTAATACTTTGTTCTCGCGGGGGGTGGATGTACTCATTAATGAAGAGACTGAAATTAGCGCATGCATAGAGCAAAGAGGCATTCCTTAACAATAAACCCAAAAAGGTCATAGAATTAATTGATGTCGAAGACAAGGAAAGTTTAGACTACAACATTAGCATCCGTGGGGCATGGATATTTATCGTTGTTTAGTTGGTCCCAGCAAATTCTTTGTTGGACATGGTAAGTTCCAAGTTGTATTGCAAGGTTCAAGACCCAGTTGGGACAGGACTCCATGTATAGTAATGATCAAAATAAACTTCCCTGTTATCTTATCACAGGCATTTGAAGCAGACTGCGGTCATTGATTCAATCCGGCATCAAAAGCAGGGTGACCATTTGAGATAAAAGTGAAGATGATTCTTAGTTTTATGGTCTTCAAAATGTAACTTGGTTCTGTGGACACCTCCAACCGAGAGCCCACAAGGAATGAACCCAATTAAATGACTTCAAATAATCCAAGATTCTACTACAGCTGGTGTTATAGATGGTGGATAGCGACAACTAAATGTGAATCTACCCTCAGAGCCTGTTATTATTTAATGATATGCATTGACATATACAAGCAACTTAAACCTCGAACCATTAAATGTGTAGCATTTGTTCTCCTAGAAGTGGCCAATCACAACACCAATAAGCATATAAACAGAACACAATTTGCTATCTCCGTGACGAAAGAAGTTCTGGACAATATCTCTATTTATTTCCACCCTTGGATAATAATGACCGATACCCTAAAATAGCTAGAAGATGCATATAAAAAATCCAAACAATTTGAAAGCGCAAAAACAGTGAACCAGGAAGGAGAGAGGGGGGGGACACTTCTCCAAGTATCTAGATACACAACATTTCCAGTAAAACACAAACAATATCATTGAGAAAATAAAGTTTTCAGCTTGAGCATCAGCATTATGTTGATCCCTAATTGAATGAATAAGGCATAGAATACNAGCACCAAGGACAAAAGAAGTCGGTGCTGGATCATCCTTGTAAGGTCCTGTAATTTCTTCAGGGTTCCTCCGGTCACCACCATATACACCATTATTGTTAAAGACTATAACCACCACAGGCAACTGATATCGAACCAATGTCTGCAGAGTTCAAAGAAACACACAGCATATAATTTTTTTCTGCTCAGAAGGAAACCATATATGTCAAGATAATGGTGGCAAAAAGAATATGATATAAGAATGAATATACAAAAATATGGCCCAAGAACGAGTTGGGGTGAAAAAAGTGCAACTTTCATAAGTTTAAGGCTTCCTGTTTGTGCAGCATTTGGGATAAATGAATTTTATAGAACAAAAGCAACATGGAAAGAATGTCGCACAAAATAATTAATTCACAAAGAAGANTTAAGTTTAAAGAAAGGCTTCCTGTTTGTGCAGCATTTGGGATAAATGAATTTTACAGAACAAAAGCAACATGGAAAGAATGTCGCACAAAATAATTAATTCACAAAGAAGAGAAAGGAAAAGATATATCACTGCCTAGCAATCAAATATCGGTATGAATTGGCTTCATAAAAGAACATCTAAGTGATGCGTAGTTAAAAATATATTTTTATATGCACACACATATAAAAGGCACACTGGTTCTACTTAAAATTCGGCCCAACAATATTGAGATTGTGGGCCTGAACAATGTAAAAGGTTAGGTTTGTACCCACCCAATCTATAAGAGAGGACGCTATAAATGAGAACTAAATGGGATGTGATTTATAAAGTAAGACAGATAGACTTGCACATTTACTGCAGTCTTGGAACAAAATTTCTAGTTTTTNTACCAATTCACCCATGCCCATTGCACTCTTCAAAAGGCCACGATGTAACTCTCTCTCTCCTACTAACTATCTGTCTATTAGTCTCCTTGACATAACCCGTTAATGAATTCAATTATATTTAAAAGTCTTAATCTTAATTCAATCTAAATAAGTAAAATAAGTTATATTTAAAAAAAATGTCACTAAATTTCAATACAATTTTATGAAATAGTTACTTAATTTCATCATAAATTTATACAAATATAAATGCATAATTCATATAAAATTTATAATNTCTCCTTTTTTTAAAGTTATAATTTAATTTTAATACTTTGTTCTCGGGGGGGTGGATGTACTCATTAATGAAGAGACTGAAATTAGCGCATGCATAGAGCAANTTTCCTTTTTTTTTAAGTTATAATTTAATTTTAATACTTTGTTCTCGCGGGGGGTGGATGTACTCATTAATGAAGAGACTGAAATTAGCGCATGCATAGAGCAAAGAGGCATTCCTTAACAATAAACCCAAAAAGGTCATAGAATTAATTGATGTCGAAGACAAGGAAAGTTTAGACTACAACATTAGCATCCGTGGGGCATGGATATTTATCGTTGTTTAGTTGGTCCCAGCAAATTCTTTGTTGGACATGGTAAGTTCCAAGTTGTATTGCAAGGTTCAAGACCCAGTTGGGACAGGACTCCATGTATAGTAACGATCAAAATAAACTTCCCTGTTATCTTATCACAGGCATTTGAAGCAGACTGCGGTCNGTAAGTTCCAAGTTGTATTGCAAGGTTCAAGACCCAGTTGGGACAGGACTCCATGTATAGTAATGATCAAAATAAACTTCCCTGTTATCTTATCACAGGCATTTGAAGCAGACTGCGGTCATTGATTCAATCCGGCATCAAAAGCAGGGTGACCATTTGAGATAAAAGTGAAGATGATTCTTAGTTTTATGGTCTTCAAAATGTAACTTGGTTCTGTGGACACCTCCAACCGAGAGCCCACAAGGAATGAACCCAATTAAATGACTTCAAATAATCCAAGATTCTACTACAGCTGGTGTTATAGATGGTGGATAGCGACAACTAAATGTGAATCTACCCTCAGAGCCTGTTATTATTTAATGATATGCATTGACATATACAAGCAACTTAAACCTCGAACCATTAAATGTGTAGCATTTGTTCTCCTAGAAGTGGCCAATCACAACACCAATAAGCATATAAACAGAACACAATTTGCTATCTCCGTGACGAAAGAAGTTCTGGACAATATCTCTATTTATTTCCACCCTTGGATAATAATGACCGATACCCTAAAATAGCTAGAAGATGCATATGAAAAATCCAAACAATTTGAAAGGGCAAAAACAGTGAACCAAGAAGGAAAAGGAAGGAGAGAGGGGGGGGACACTTCTCCAAGTATCTAGATACACAACATTTCCAGTAAAACACAAACAATATCATTGAGAAAATAAAGTTTTCAGCTTGAGCATCAGCATTATGTTGATCCCTAATTGAATGAATAAGGCATAGAATACTAGTTTTCCATAAACAAGGAGCGTTAATATATAAGCAAACTCCTTAGAGAGGGAACAAACCTCGCATTCCATGGCACTAAAACCAAATCCAGAGTCCCCTTCAACAGCAACAACAAGCCGATCAGGTGAAGCCACAGCCGCAGCAATGCAATAGCCCAGACCAACCCCCATTGTCCCCCAAGTCCCAGCATCCAACCTTGTCCTCGGCTCCATCTGAATTAACACAGCACGACCAACATCCATCGTGTTTGCCCCCTCAGACACCAATATCGGAGCAGGACTACCCAATCCCAAAATTGCATCCCTGATTATCCTCATTGGTGTCATAAAATTGAAAGGCACAACGTCCTTAGCCAACTGTGCCTCCATTCTTGACACATTTTCTTTTGCCTTCTTTGCTATCGCTTCAACCCAAGTATGATTCTTTCCCAAACAAAAAGGGTCATCCTTAATCTCCTTATTTATGATTTCCAAAACCCTTTTCGCATCCCCAACCAGTCCAAGACATGGCTTTCTCAGCTCAATCTCTTCTTTACTTATGTCAACCAAAATAAACTTCACATCCTTAGACCACTTTGGAGGTTCCCCAAAATGCAACAACCAATTAAGCCTTGCACCAACCACCAATGCAACATCACATCTCCCAATTGCCAATGACCTCGCCGCAGTTGCTGCTAGGTCATGGGTATCAGGCAACAAACCCTTCCCCATAGGTGTTGGCAAAAATGGAATTCCAGTACTTTCCACCAACTTTTTCAGCTCATTCTCGGCTCTAGCAATGGCAGCGCCCTTACCAAACACAATCAACGGCCTCTCTGCCTGTCTCAGCATCGAAACCGCCTTTTCAATCTCCGAATGCTTAACAATTTCAATCCCTTCCTCTTTGTTTTCCTTTCTACAAGTCTGAGCATCAACAATCAATTTCTCCGCCTCCGATTCAGTGACAGTTTGGTGAAGCACATCGGTGGGTAAGTCCAAGTAACACCCGCCGGGACGCCCCGATGCAGCCCAGTGAAGGACATCGAAAACACAACCAGGGATTTGTTTGATGTTAGAGGCTTTTGCGGAAAATTTCGAGAACGGTTTAACGGCCGCTATTTGATCGAGCTCCTGGAAATCCCCGCGGCCGAAGTCCTTTTGATCACATGAGCCGGAGATCAGGACCATGGGCCAGGCATTAACAGTGCCGTTCGAGACACCCGCTAGCCCGTGAACACAACCCGGCCCGGAAACGGTGAGGAGAATTCCAGGCCGACCGGTGAGGTACCCGTAAGCCGAGGCAGCGTAGCCAGCGGATTGCTCGTTGTGGAAGGCGATGAATCGGATTCCGAGGGCGACAGAGCGGTTGGCGAGGGAGGTGACCGGAATTCCCACCACGCCGAACATGCGATCCACGCCGGCACGTGCCAGGGACATGGCAACAAGGGAATTGCCATCGATTAGGGCATTTGGATCGGAGTCGGTGTCTGCCATTGCAGATAGAGAGAGAGAGAGAGAGAGAGAGAGAATCGAACTGCTTGGAAGTGAAGCGCAGAAACTGAACTGTGCATGTGAATTGTAGCAATCAGATAGACATTAAAGTGGGCACTGGTTGAGATATATATAGAATCCTGTTATGAATGTGCCCACCCTAGATGAACATGGCTTGCCAGCTGACGAATTAAATTGGTTTTTGGCAACCTTACTATCCGATCCCAATTGAACTCTATTTGTTTTTTACTACCTTTGGTTTGGACACCTACCAATTCACCCATGCCCATTGCAGTCTTCAAAAGGCCACGATGTAACTCTCTCTCTCCTACTAACTATCTGTCTATTAGTCTCCTCCACATAACCCGTTAATGAATTGAATTATATTTAAAAGTCTTAATCTTTTATATTTAAAAAAAATGTCACTAAATTTCAATACAATTTTATGAAATAGTTACTTAATTTCATCATAAATTTATACAAATATAAATGCATAATTCATATAAAATTTATAATCAGATTAAATATTGATATATATATAAATCCGAATCAATTGAACATGATATAACATATTCAAATTTGTATTTAAATTATCGATAAAAAATATTAATTTATATTTGTTTAATCAAATTTAAATTAAAATCCAATTCATTGCCTAGTCTTAACTTAGTTTTATTTGTTGGGCTTATTATGATAAGAGTTTTTGCATCCCTTTGATTTAACAGCCTCATTCTATTTATAAATAGAGTTCGGATTGATTCCAAGAAAATATTAAATACAATGGTAAAACGGTGTCACTATTATTACAAGACATTACTAATTAATAATGTATAAATAAATAAAATCTGCACAAAATAATAACTATCCGTTCATATAACTCAATACTTATTTAAATAAAATTTATTTATTTTATTTAATATTTTATTATTAATCGATAATATCACGTGACATTACATTTTTAGTACTCTCTGTCTCGCACGCGGGAACGCGCGGAGGTTCTCAGCGACAATGCTTACCGGGGATATACCCGAGAAAGTCAAGAAAGAAGTGCAAAACTTTCATTCTTCATTCAACCAGTGATTGCTTCGTAATGTAAAGATGATTATGGCCCTTCAATCTCTAGAGATGATTAATACACCCAATTTTACCTTCCGATGGTGCTCGGAATTTATGGCTCAAGCCCAACGAAGATGGGGCGATGTTCTGGATAGGTTTTGTAGATAATGAATTAATTTTTCGTGAACAATTAGGCAGGGAATGTAAGTGGTTCATCTTAACCGACAAATTAAAACTACGTCCACTACCAATGGAATTTTTTGCTCTCTAGGTTTGTATATTAATCGATCAGAGGTATGCCCCCTTAAATTGGGGACCCAAAGTCCTCTTACAAAGAGTGAGTATCTAGCTATTCTCTCTTAGTGTCCTTTTCTTTGGCTCCTTCGATGCTTATGGGTCCAAGAAGAGATCCCCCATTGCCAAGGCCTTCATGGCCTAGAAGCCTAACCAGCCCAACAGGTCCGAAGCAAAGAAGAAGAACCTAACTTCAGCAGAAAGCTTGTAACCCAACAATTCAGGCCTAATCTAAACCATAAGCAGTCCAAAGGTTGAAAGTCTAGTCTAAATGCTACTTCTGGATCGCCAGTAGGGACCACGCACCCTAAGGATCCAGGGGACCACTCCTGACACTTATGATAATCTCAGAGAAAGTGGAGCGCCAAGCCACCAGAGATTGTGCCAACGGCAGCGCCGGATGAACAGTGATCGTGGTGACAAAAAAAGCAAGAAGGGGCAGAGAGAAGAATTGAATGGATCAGTACTAAGAGAAGGACAGTTGAAAACCCTAGAAGAGACCCTAATATAAATAGAAAACGATAACCTGACGAGGGGGGATCTCTTCTTGGACCCATATGCATCGGAGGAGCCAAGAATAAGGACACAAAGAAAGAATAGTTAAATACTCACTCCTTGTAAGAGGACTTCGGATCCCCAGTTTCAAGGAGCATATCTTCAACCGATTAATATACAAACTCAAGAAGCAAGAAACTCCATTAATAGTGAACGTAACCTTAGTCTATCGGCTAAAGTGAACCACTTATATTCCCTGTCTAACTGTTCATGAGAGATTAATGCATAATCTGCAAAACCTACTCAGAACATCGCCCCATCTTCGTTGGGCTTGGGCCATAAATTCCGAACACCATCACCTCCAAATGGAGATAACTATATCTGAAACTCGAATCATAACTCTAGGTCATTAGTCGAAGGGTTAATTTTCCTTTGTATCCTAAAAAATGCTCTAATTCTAAATTTGTACCCTNATCGAAACCGCCTTTTCAATCTCCGAATGCTTAACAATTTCAATCCCTTCCTCTTTGTTTTCCTTTCTACAAGTCTGAGCATCAACAATCAATTTCTCCGCCTCCGATTCAGTGACAGTTTGGTGAAGCACATCGGTGGGTAAGTCCAAGTAACACCCGCCGGGACGCCCCGATGCAGCCCAGTGAAGGACATCGAAAACACAACCAGGGATTTGTTTGATGTTAGAGGCTTTTGCGGAAAATTTCGAGAACGGTTTAACGGCCGCTATTTGATCGAGCTCCTGGAAATCCCCGCGGCCGAAGTCCTTTTGATCACATGAGCCGGAGATCAGGACCATGGGCCAGGCATTAACAGTGCCGTTCGAGACACCCGCTAGCCCGTGAACACAACCCGGCCCGGAAACGGTGAGGAGAATTCCAGGCCGACCGGTGAGGTACCCGTAAGCCGAGGCAGCGTAGCCAGCGGATTGCTCGTTGTGGAAGGCGATGAATCGGATTCCGAGGGCGACAGAGCGGTTGGCGAGGGAGGTGACCGGAATTCCCACCACGCCGAACATGCGATCCACGCCGGCACGTGCCAGGGACATGGCAACAAGGGAATTGCCATCGATTAGGGCATTTGGATCGGAGTCGGTGTCTGCCATTGCAGATACACAGAGAGAGAGAGAGAGAGAGAGAATCGAACTGCTTGGAAGTGAAGCGCAGAAACTGAACTGTGCATGTGAATTGTAGTAATCAGATGGACATTAAAGTGGGCACTGGTTGAGATATATATAGAATCCTGTTATGAATGTGCCCACCCACCCTAGATGAACATGGCTTGCCAGCTGACGAATTAAATTGGTTTTTGGCAACCTTACTATCCGATCCCAATTGAACTCTATTTGTTTTTTACTACCTTTGGTTTGGACACCTACCAATTCACCCATGCCCATTGCAGTCTTCAAAAGGCCACGATGTAACTCTCTCTCTCCTACTAACTATCTGTCTATTAGTCTCCTCCACATAACCCGTTAATGAATTGAATTATATTTAAAAGTCTTAATCTTTTATATTTAAAAAAAATGTCACTAAATTTCAATACAATTTTATGAAATAGTTACTTAATTTCATCATAAATTTATACAAATATAAATGCATAATTCATATAAAATTTATAATCAGATTAAATATTGATATATATATAAATCCGAATCAATTGAACATGATATAACATATTCAAATTTGTATTTAAATTATCGATAAAAAATATTAATTTATATTTGTTTAATCAAATTTAAATTAAAATTCAATTCATTGCCTAGTCTTAACTTAGTTTTATTTGTTGGGCTTATTATGATAAGAGTTTTTGCATCTCTTTGATTTAACAGCCTCATTCTATTTATAAATAGAGCTCGGATTGATTCGAAAAAAATATTAAATACAGTGATAACACGATGTCACTATTATTACAAGACATTACTAATTAATAATGTACAAATAAATAAAATCTGCACAAAATAATAACTATCCATTCATATAACTCAATACCTATTTAAATAAAATTTATTTATTTTATTTAATATTTTATTATTAATCGATAAAAACACGTGACATTACATATTTAGTACTCTCTGTCGCACGCGGGAACGCGCGGAGGTTCTCAGCGACAATGCTTACCGGGGATATACCCGAGAAAGTCGAGAAAGAAGTGCAAAACTTTCATTCTTCGTTCAACCAGTGATTTCTTCGTAATGTAAAGATGATTATGGCCCTTCAATCTCTAGAGATGATTAATACACCCAATTTTACCTCCCGATGGTGCTCGGAATTTATGGCCCAAGCCCAACGAAGATGGGGCGATGTTTTGGATAGGTTTTGTAGATTATGAATTAATTTTTCGTGAACAATTAGGCAGGGAATGTAAGTAGTTCACCTTAGCCGACAGATTAAGACTTCGTCCACTACCAATGGAGTCTTTTGCTCTCTGGGTTTGTATATTAATCGATCGGAGGTGTGCCCCCTTAAATTGGGGACCCAAAGTCCTCTTACAAAGAGTGAGTATCTAGCTATTCTCTCTTGGTGTCCTTTTCTTTGGCTCCTTCGATGCTTATGGGTCCAAGAAGAGATCCCCCATTGCCGGGTTATCGTTTTTTATTTATATTAAAGTCTCTTCTAAGGTTTTCAACTATCCTTCCCTTAGTGCTGAACCTTCCGGTCCTTCTTTCTGCCCCTTCCTACTTCTTCTGTCACCACGATCACTGTTCATTCGACGCTGCCGTTGCCACGATCTCTGGTGGTTTGGCACTCCATTGTCTCTGAGATTATCATAGGTATCAGGAGTGGTCCCCTGAATCCTTAGGGGTGCATGGTCCCCACTGGCAATCCAGAAGTAGCATTTGAACTAGACTTTCAACCTTTGGATTGCTTATGGTTTGAACTGGGCTTGGATTGTTGGGTTATAAGCCTTCTACTGATGCTAGGTTCTTCTTCTTTGCTCTGGACCTTTTGGGCTAGTTAGGCTTCTGGGCCATGAAGGTCTTGGCCTTTAATTTCGTCCGTATCAGTTGCTCCCTAGCCACAGGTCCTGAAGATGTTACCATCTATGGTCTGGGGTTAAAAATGATTTTTCTGGGCTCGTTATGGGTTTTTTAAGTGATGAATGTGCTCAGCTATCGTTCCTGATCAAGATTGGGCCACGCCTTTGTTTGCCGGCAATAATGAGATGGTAATGCACATCATCGGGTGAGCTCGTGGGTATGACTTTTGTGGCGTGTCTTATCATTTGTCTGTCATAAATTTAATGCTTCATACATACATATATGTTCCTCTAGGGGGAAGGTCCCTTGGCATTTTTCGTTCTGTGGTTTCGAGTCCCATCTTCCTTCGTGCCACTCTTCCTCTCTACGCTTTCGAAACGTCTTGCTCCAAACTTTTTGGCGACTTAGGACATCCTCGTCTTTGGTTATCCTCTACATCTAGTGTTTTACTAGGTACGCCTTTCGTCCCTTCTTTTTTTTTTTTATTTCAACTTGGATCCGTTCAACCCGCCCTGGTGGGGTTTTGGATTTCGCTTCCTGATTTGGAGATTTAGTTATTTTAAAGAACACTCCAACGACCTTTCTTCTCTTTTGCGATTTGTCGATCATTCTTCAGTGGCGAGGGTATCCTGGCAATTGATACGGACGAAATTCAAGGCCAAGGCCTTCATGGCCTAGAAGCCTAACCAGCCCAACAGGTCCCGAGCAAAAAAGAAGAACCTAACATCAGCAGAAGGCTTGTAACCCAACAATCCAAGCCTAATCCAAACCATAAGCTGTCCAAAGGTTGAAAGTCTAGTCCAAATGCTACTTCTGGATCGCCAGTGGGGACCACGCACCCTAAGGATCCAGAGGACCACTCCTGACACTTATGATAATCTCAGAGAAAGTGGAGTGCCAAGCCACCAGAGATTGTGCCAACGGCAACACCGGATGAACAGTGATCATGGTGACAGAAGAAGCAAGAAGGGGCAGAGAGAAGAACTGAATGGATCAGTACTAAGAGAAGGACGGCTGAAAACCCTAGGAGAGACCCTAATATAAATAGAAAACGATAACCTGACAAGGGGGGATCTCTTCTTGGACCCATATGCATCGGAGGAGCCAAGAATAAGGACACCAAGAAAGAATAGTTAAATACTCACTCCTTGTAAGAGGACTTCGGATCCCCAGTTTCAAGGAGCACATCTTCAACCGATTAATATACAAACCCAAGAAGCAAGAAACTCCATTGATAGTGAACGTAATCTTAGTCTACCGGCTAAAGTTAACCACTTATATTCCCTGCCTAACTATTCACGAGAGATTAATCCATAATCTGCAAAACCTACTCAGAACATCGCCCCATCTTCGTTGGGCTTGGGCCATAAATTCCGAGCACCATCACCTCCAAATGGAGATAACTATATATCTGAAACTCGAATCATAACTCTAGGTCATTAGTCAAAGGGTTAATTTTCCTTTGTATCCTAAAAAATGCTCTAATTCTAAATTTGTACCCTAAAAGATGCTATAATTATCAATTTATACTTAAAGAATTGAATTCTCAAATTACACTCTCACTGTTATAAAATTAATACAATGTAGTTCAATTCAAGGATAAAATTTAAGATAGAGAGTGCAATTTAAAAATTCAATTCTTTAAGGGTACAAATTAAGAATTGTAAGATCTTTTAGTGTGCAAATTCCATAATAATTGCTACTAGGCTCACCCTCTAGTCTACATTTAAGCAGGTTTTTTACTCCCAACAATCTGTAAATTTATTTCAGCTCTATATTTAATGAAAATGAAATCCACTTCAGATGCATGATTTATCCCATCAAAGATTAAAAGTAAGGCAACTACGGATGGTTTAGGGGAACAAAAAGCAACTATATTAGCTTCTTTTGCAAAATACATCAGTTACAGCTTGCAAGAACGCAAATGCACTAATCATCCGAGTCAAACTCTCAAGAGTCCAATCTGGAACACAAACCAAAACGTCAAACCACTAGCTTAACAGCCAACAACAACCTGATTTGACCCAGTACATCTGTCATCCGTCATTAAATATCCACATAAACTTGGTGAAAAGCTCAAACATGGTTTCGTGTATAAGATCGTTTAGCAATGATGCCACCGAAGAAGATAAGCTTTCTACACACCTACTGAGAAGTTAGGAGTTCAGAGAACTAAAACATCATTGACTTTAAGGTCCTTCCTCTCCTGAAGGNGCAATCAGATAGACATTAAAGTGGGCACTGGTTGAGATATATATAGAATCCTGTTATGAATGTGCCCACCCTAGATGAACATGGCTTGCCAGCTGACGAATTAAATTGGTTTTTGGCAACCTTACTATCCGATCCCAATTGAACTCTATTTGTTTTTTACTACCTTTGGTTTGGACACCTTCCAATTCACCCATGCCCATTGCAGTCTTCAAAAGGCCACGATGTAACTCTCTCTCTCCTACTAACTATCTGTCTATTAGTCTCCTCCACATAACCCGTTAATGAATTGAATTATATTTAAAAGTCTTAATCTTTTATATTTAAAAAAAATGTCACTAAATTTCAATACAATTTTATGAAATAGTTACTTAATTTCATCATAAATTTATACAAATATAAATGCATAATTCATATAAAATTTATAATCAGATTAAATATTGATATATATATAAATCCGAATCAATTGAACATGATATAACATATTCAAATTTGTATTTAAATTATCGATAAAAAATATTAATTTATATTTGTTTAATCAAATTTAAATTAAAATTCAATTCATTGCCTAGTCTTAACTTAGTTTTATTTGTTGGGCTTATTATGATAAGAGTTTTTGCATCTCTTTGATTTAACAGCCTCATTCTATTTATAAATAGAGCTCGGATTGATTCGAAAAAAATATTAAATACAGTGATAACACGATGTCACTATTATTACAAGACATTACTAATTAATAATGTACAAATAAATAAAATCTGCACAAAATAATAACTATCCATTCATATAACTCAATACCTATTTAAATAAAATTTATTTATTTTATTTAATATTTTATTATTAATCGATAAAAACACGTGACATTACATATTTAGTACTCTCTGTCGCACGCGGGAACGCGCGGAGGTTCTCAGCGACAATGCTTACCGGGGATATACCCGAGAAAGTCGAGAAAGAAGTGCAAAACTTTCATTCTTCGTTCAACCAGTGATTTCTTCGTAATGTAAAGATGATTATGGCCCTTCAATCTCTAGAGATGATTAATACACCCAATTTTACCTCCCGATGGTGCTCGGAATTTATGGCCCAAGCCCAACGAAGATGGGGCGATGTTTTGGATAGGTTTTGTAGATTATGAATTAATTTTTCGTGAACAATTAGGCAGGGAATGTAAGTAGTTCACCTTAGCCGACAGATTAAGACTTCGTCCACTACCAATGGAGTCTTTTGCTCTCTGGGTTTGTATATTAATCGATCGGAGGTGTGCCCCCTTAAATTGGGGACCCAAAGTCCTCTTACAAAGAGTGAGTATCTAGCTATTCTCTCTTGGTGTCCTTTTCTTTGGCTCCTTCGATGCTTATGGGTCCAAGAAGAGATCCCCCATTGCCGGGTTATCGTTTTTTATTTATATTAAAGTCTCTTCTAAGGTTTTCAACTATCCTTCCCTTAGTGCTGAACCTTCCGGTCCTTCTTTCTGCCCCTTCCTACTTCTTCTGTCACCACGATCACTGTTCATTCGACGCTGCCGTTGCCACGATCTCTGGTGGTTTGGCACTCCATTGTCTCTGAGATTATCATAGGTATCAGGAGTGGTCCCCTGAATCCTTAGGGGTGCATGGTCCCCACTGGCAATCCAGAAGTAGCATTTGAACTAGACTTTCAACCTTTGGATTGCTTATGGTTTGAACTGGGCTTGGATTGTTGGGTTATAAGCCTTCTACTGATGCTAGGTTCTTCTTCTTTGCTCTGGACCTTTTGGGCTAGTTAGGCTTCTGGGCCATGAAGGTCTTGGCCTTTAATTTCGTCCGTATCAGTTGCTCCCTAGCCACAGGTCCTGAAGATGTTACCATCTATGGTCTGGGGTTAAAAATGATTTTTCTGGGCTCGTTATGGGTTTTTTAAGTGATGAATGTGCTCAGCTATCGTTCCTGATCAAGATTGGGCCACGCCTTTGTTTGCCGGCAATAATGAGATGGTAATGCACATCATCGGGTGAGCTCGTGGGTATGACTTTTGTGGCGTGTCTTATCATTTGTCTGTCATAAATTTAATGCTTCATACATACATATATGTTCCTCTAGGGGGAAGGTCCCTTGGCATTTTTCGTTCTGTGGTTTCGAGTCCCATCTTCCTTCGTGCCACTCTTCCTCTCTACGCTTTCGAAACGTCTTGCTCCAAACTTTTTGGCGACTTAGGACATCCTCGTCTTTGGTTATCCTCTACATCTAGTGTTTTACTAGGTACGCCTTTCGTCCCTTCTTTTTTTTTTTTATTTCAACTTGGATCCGTTCAACCCGCCCTGGTGGGGTTTTGGATTTCGCTTCCTGATTTGGAGATTTAGTTATTTTAAAGAACACTCCAACGACCTTTCTTCTCTTTTGCGATTTGTCGATCATTCTTCAGTGGCGAGGGTATCCTGGCAATTGATACGGACGAAATTCAAGGCCAAGGCCTTCATGGCCTAGAAGCCTAACCAGCCCAACAGGTCCCGAGCAAAAAAGAAGAACCTAACATCAGCAGAAGGCTTGTAACCCAACAATCCAAGCCTAATCCAAACCATAAGCTGTCCAAAGGTTGAAAGTCTAGTCCAAATGCTACTTCTGGATCGCCAGTGGGGACCACGCACCCTAAGGATCCAGAGGACCACTCCTGACACTTATGATAATCTCAGAGAAAGTGGAGTGCCAAGCCACCAGAGATTGTGCCAACGGCAACACCGGATGAACAGTGATCATGGTGACAGAAGAAGCAAGAAGGGGCAGAGAGAAGAACTGAATGGATCAGTACTAAGAGAAGGACGGCTGAAAACCCTAGGAGAGACCCTAATATAAATAGAAAACGATAACCTGACAAGGGGGGATCTCTTCTTGGACCCATATGCATCGGAGGAGCCAAGAATAAGGACACCAAGAAAGAATAGTTAAATACTCACTCCTTGTAAGAGGACTTCGGATCTCCAGTTTCAAGGAGCACATCTTCAACCGATTAATATACAAACCCAAGAAGCAAGAAACTCCATTGATAGTGAACGTAATCTTAGTCTACCGGCTAAAGTTAACCACTTATATTCCCTGCCTAACTATTCACGAGAGATTAATCCATAATCTGCAAAACCTACTCAGAACATCGCCCCATCTTCGTTGGGCTTGGGCCATAAATTCCGAGCACCATCACCTCCAAATGGAGATAACTATATATCTGAAACTCGAATCATAACTCTAGGTCATTAGTCAAAGGGTTAATTTTCCTTTGTATCCTAAAAAATGCTCTAATTCTAAATTTGTACCCTAAAAGATGCTATAATTATCAATTTATACTTAAAGAATTGAATTCTCAAATTACACTCTCACTGTTATAAAATTAATACAATGTAGTTCAATTCAAGGATAAAATTTAAGATAGAGAGTGCAATTTAAAAATTCAATTCTTTAAGGGTACAAATTAAGAATTGTAAGATCATTTAGTGTGCAAATTCCATAATAATTGCTACTAGGCTCACCCTCTAGTCTACATTTAAGCAGGTTTTTTACTCCCAACAATCTGTAAATTTATTTCAGCTCTATATTTAATGAAAATGAAATCCACTTCAGATGCATGATTTATCCCATCAAAGATTAAAAGTAAGGCAACTACGGATGGTTTAGGGGAACAAAAAGCAACTATATTAGCTTCTTTTGCAAAATACATCAGTTACAGCTTGCAAGAACGCAAATGCACTAATCATCCGAGTCAAACTCTCAAGAGTCCAATCTGGAACACAAACCAAAACGTCAAACCACTAGCTTAACAGCCAACAACAACCTGATTTGACCCAGTACATCTGTCATCCGTCATTAAATATCCACATAAACTTGGTGAAAAGCTCAAACATGGTTTCGTGTATAAGATCGTTTAGCAATGATGCCACCGAAGAAGATAAGCTTTCTACACACCTACTGAGAAGTTAGGAGTTCAGAGAACTAAAACATCATTGACTTTAAGGTCCTTCCTCTCCTGAAGGATGATCCAATGAAGAAACCAGCTGCTCTTCATTTCCATCTGCTTCAATCGGATGATCAGCTGGAGGTCCTTGTTCTCCACTTTCATTATTTTCAGGGTGAAAATTGATGGGGAACTTAGTGACTCTAGGTTTATCAGTTAATATGTTTCTTTGGACCCTATCAACCAACACCTTTTGGGGAGGTTCCTCTCTAAGCTGCTCATCATCATAATCATTGTTCACATAATAGCCCACTCGGACAAATTCTTGGCCCAGATAAGAGCAGGTCAGGAGGAGCACTGTGACACCAATTAAATCTTCTTCACGGATCTTTGAAGGATCCGGAGGGTCTGCCTGGTAGAAGTGCCCCAAAAAACACGATAAAGCCAACAAATAAGAGTTCTATGCCACAAATGGTCAAAATNGACCTAACATTGTCACACAAACCCACAATCCTCATATTACATTTTTCCTCATCATTTTCTCATGTTTGGTAGTCCTTTACATTTTCTTCCCCTTTCCCTCGTGGAATCCGACATCCAGATAGTACAGAAAGGTACCTAATGTTAAGCCAAAGCAAGATCAGACGAAGAACATCTTGTTTAATAAATCCCGATTAAAATTCATGGCAAACCTCACCATTTCCTAAAATATCAACCATAGATACTTCTCAATTTTGAAATTGTGAACCCTAAGTATCAAATATTTGCCACTGTTCATGTAACCTAACCCCAGTCGGCAGTATTAAAATCAAATAAAATGTAAGCAGATATAAAGTACCGTCTTTGAGAGGAGTGACACACTCGTATGAGATTTCGAACTGGAAAGGGGCCAGAAACGACGCCGGGTTGTCCAAGACCGTCACGTTCGTAATGTTCACTGCACTCATTGTACCAAACTCAAAGAGAGCTCCGTGTTGGACTCGTTCAGGTACGGTTCGGTGAAAACCCTACGCTTCAAAACCTTCATCGAAGTCGCGAAGCCCTAGATAATAAGGATCAACGAGGAAGACGAAGGAGATGAAGAAAGAAGCAAAACAGGGACGATAATTGTGATTGCAGGGGAAATTGAGAGCTATGAAATGTTGTTTGTGATTTTATAGTGTTGACCGGTTAGTTCGTGCTTTACCGGAGATAGCCGGTTTTCCCATTTGGCGGGAGTTTTTTTTGCCAAATGTTTCTCTTAATTGTTAGAAATCACAATTAGGAGTAAATATTTGTTACAACGGTCATCGACAACGAATAATAACACTAAAATAACTGTGGTGGCGGGGGTAGGGATGGGGTGGCGGCGGCGGAGGCGGCGGAGGCAACGGTGGTTAAATATTTTGTAGATAATTAATTTTAAATAAGTAGAAGTTATTTTTTTTTTATTTTACTTATTTATTTATTTAAATACTAAAACTGCTTCTAACTTCTTTAAAAGTAATTAAATAAGTTGTTTAAAACTATTATTTTTTTTATAAAATATTTATGAAAAGTCATAAATTTTAAAAATATTTTTGAAAAGTCATCCCAAACATAAGATGGTTTATTTTTTTTTATTAAATTTATGAAATTAACATTAACCAAAAAAATAAAAATTATTTATAATGTTGGACTTTATTATATAGATAACAGTGACATCAATTCATTGCATCCTCGTGATATAAAAAAAAAAAGAAAAGAAAAAGGTAAATAACATAAATGCCTCTCCAATTATTACACATGTTTCAAATTCGTCTCTAAACTTTCTATTCTTTCTATTTAGTCTTTATGACTTTTACATCTGTAGCAATAAACCGCTTCCGTTTATTTCCCCTTCATTAAGATAGGCGGAATCAACCCACTGACAATTGCTTGGAGGGCAAAATAGACAATGTCTATACTGGACTCTTATTTTCAGTAAGGATGTAATTCAGACCTTAACTCCAAGTACTCTACCAAAGTATTGTCAAAGTTTAATTCGGACAGGTTCAGATTGAATTTGGGTTATGCAATTCAAACAAATTTTAAGTTGTGATTCGGGTTGAGTTCAGGTTATGTAATTTGGATTAATTTTGAATTATAATTCAAGTAGAGTTTATTCAAGTCCGAAAATCAGTCTATTATTGTAAATTTGATACATGTTACATAATATTCGCCTAAAATAACAATCAATAACTTCAATCAAATGTTTAAAATAAAAACATAGTATTTGAAGTATAAAAATTTAACATAAAGACATAAAAGTTAAATGTTTAACATAAAATTAATCCCTAGTGTTTCAACTTATAAGTTATATTGCTATATTGATCTATATATTTATTTTTAAATATATTCGTGTTGAACCCCGATTTAAAATTCAAGTTAAGTTCGATTTATATATTGAAGTTAAACTCGATTTATACATTCGGGTGACTCGGTAACCCGAGATTTCAACCTAGGTACTGTCCAAATGTAATTCGGGTTAGTATTTTTTTACTCAGATCCAACCCAAGTATTAAAAATCTCAACTGAAGTCCTTTTTTTTTTTTCGGGTTGACCCGCTTAAGTTACGCCCCTAATTTTCAATGCACAATTTCCCTTCTTCCAATTCCTAATTTCATGTTGTACTATTTTTGTTTTTTCAATGTTACTCATGGATTGGTCCGTCAATATATTAGATTTTGATTCGAATTCGAATTCAGTTAAACGAATACGGATTAATATTTTTTATCGACAATCCAAATCAAAATTCGAATATAAATATGATATCTTATATTTCATGGATTTGAATTTAAATATATCTATATTTAATCTTAATTATTTATATGTTTTTATATAAATATTAAAAAAATTAAGTATTATTTTAAAAAATTATTTGAAATTTAGGTATAATTTGTTAAAATTTAGTTAATTAAATTATTTGGATCGAATTGAATTTTAGATTGTTAGCGAATTTGGATATAGACCACAAAAATAAAATTCTTCGGATTATTGAATTAGATTTGGATTATATTTTAAAATTAAATTTAAATTCAAATCAGTTAAAATTTGAACTAAATCTAATCCATTGAGAAGCTTAGGCGTGAACTTCACCAGATAAATTGAGGGAACCATGCCCTCAAAAATCCCAGCAATGCATGTACATTTTCTAGTTTGCCTTCAAAGCAACAACCAAGGGGCATATTTTATCCATCTTAACGAGGAGTTTATTGGTAGACGTAAGAGTCTAAGGGGTTAAATTATAATAATTGAAAGTTCAGATGCCGAAATTGCCACAACACTTCAAGTGCCGAAATTGCCGCGCAACCAACACGCGTCATTCCACGGTTGTTTGAACTCTTCCGAGGAGGGGAGCAGGTNTGCCAAATGTTTCTCTTAATTGTTAGAAATCACAATTAGGAGTAAATATTTGTTACAACGGTCGTCGACAACGAATAATAACACTAAAATAACTGTGGTGGCGGCGGTAGGGATGGGGTGACAGCGGCGGAGGCAACGGTGGTTAAATATTTTGTAGATAATTAATTTTAAATAAGTAGAAGTTATTTTTTTCTATTTTACTTATTTATTTATTTAAATACTAAAACTGCTTCTAACTTCTTTAAAAGTAATTACATAAGTTGTTTAAAACTATTATTTTTTTTATAAAATATTTATGAAAAGTCATAAATTTTAAAAATATTTTTGAAAAGTCATCTCAAACACACTCTAAGATGGTTTATTTTTTTTATTAAATTTTTGAAATTAACATTAACCAAAAAAATAAAAATTATTTATAATGTTGGACTTTATTATATAGATAACAGTGACATCAATTCATTGCAGCCTCGTGATGTAAAAAAAAAAAAAAGAAAAAGGTAAATAACATAAATGCCTCTCCAATTATTACACATGTTTCAAATTCGTCTCTAAACTTTCTATTTTTTCTATTTAGTCTTTATGACTTTTACATCTGTAGCAATAAACCGCTTCCGTTTATTTCCCCTTCATTAAGATAGGCGGAATCAACCCACTGACAATTGCTTGGAGGGCAAAATAGACAATGTCTATACTGGACTCTTATTTTCAGTAAGGATGTAATTCAGACCTTAACTCCAAGTACTCTACCAAAGTATTGTCTAAGTTTAATTCGGACAGGTTCAGATTGAATTTTGGTTATGCAATTCAAACAAATTTTAAGTTGTGATTCGGGTTGAGTTCAGGTTATGTAATTTGGATAAATTTTGAATTATAATTCAAGTAGAGTTTATTCAAGTCCGAAAATCAGTCTATTATTGTAAATTTGATACATACTACATAATATTCGCCTAAAATAACAATTAATAACTTCAATCAAATGTTTAACATAAAGACATAAAAGTTAAATGTTTAACATAAAATTAATCCCTAGTGTTTCAACTTATAAGTTATATTGCTATATTGATCTATATATTTATTTTTAAATATATTCGTGTTGAACCCCGATTTAAAATTCAAGTTAAGTTCGATTTATATATTGAAGTTAACCCGAGATTTCAACTTAGGTAATGTCCAAATGTAATTCGGGTTAGTATTTTTTTATTCAGATTCAACCCAAGTATTAAAAATCTCAACTGAAGTCCTATTTTTTTTTTTTTTCGGGTTGACCCGCTTAAGTTACGCCCCTGATTTTCAATGCACAATTTCCCTTCTTCCAAGTCCTAATTTCATGTTGTACTATTTTTGTTTTTTCAATGTTACTCATGCAATGGTCTGTCAATATATTAGATTTTGATTCGAATTTGAATTCAGTTAAACGAATACGGATTAATATTTTTTATCGACAATCCAAATCCAAATTCGAATATAAATATGATATCTTATATTTCATGAATTTGAATTTAAATATATCTATATTTAATCTTAATTATTTATATGTTTTTATATAAATATTAAAAAAATTAAGTATTATTTTAAAAAATTATTTGAAATTTAGGTATAATTTGTTAAAATTTAGTTAATTAAATTATTTGGATCGAATTGAATTTTAGATTGTTAGCGAATTTGGATATAGACCACAAAAATAAAATTCTTCGGATTATTGAATTAGATTTGGATTATATTTTAAAATTAAATTTAAATTCAAATCAGTTAAAATTTGAACTAAATCTAATCCATTGAGAAGCTTAGGCGTGAACTTCACCAGATAAATTGAGGGAACCATGCCCTCAAAAATCCCAGCAATGCATGTACATTTTCTAGTTTGCCTTCAAAGCAACAACCAAGGGGCATATTTTATCCATCTTAACGAGGAGTTTATTGGTAGACGTAAGAGTCTAAGGGGTTAAATTATAATAATTGAAAGTTCAGATGCCGAAATTGCCACAACACTTCAAGTGCCGAAATTGCCGCGCAACCAACACGCGTCATTCCACGGTTGTTTGAACTCTTCCGAGGAGGGGAGCAGGTCCACCATCGGAGATCCAAACAAACTGGACGCCAAAATCTCCCTCAATTTCACCTCTTATATCTCCTCATTGTCCACCATCTTCATTCCCACTGTCGTACTCACCACACCATCTCTCTCTCTCTCTCTCTCTCTCTCACACACACACACACACCCATTGATCCTCTTGTGCTCCATTTGCCAACGTGAATTCTTCTCACAGACACTGATCATTACGGAAACANCACACGCACACACACACACCCATTGATCCTCTTGTGCTCCATTTGCCAACGTGAATTCTTCTCACAGACACTGATCATTACGGAAACACAATCAATAAAACCTTAACCCCAACCCACTTTCACTCCATTAGCCTCATCCATGGCTTCACGCAAACTCCTTTCTTCGCTACTCCGTTCCTCTACACTTCTCTCCGTTAAACCCTCACTCCGAACCCTTAGACAGTCAGTTAAGCTTCCATCACCGGGCGGTTTTCTTTTAAAGCGAGTGATCAATTACGCCACTTCCGCCGCAGCTCCNCTACACTTCTCTCCGTTAAACCCTCACTCCGAACCCTTAGACAGTCAGTTAAGCGTCCATCACCGGGCGGTTTTCTTTTAAAGCGAGTGATCAATTACGCCACTTCCGCCGCAGCTCCGGCGACGGCGCCAACGCCATCGCTGCCGTCTAAGGTTGTGAAATCCGGTGGTGGCAAAATTACTGATGAGTTCACGGGGGCTGGTGCGGTTGGCCAGGTGTGCCAGGTGATTGGTGCGGTTGTCGATGTCCGGTTTGATGAAGGGTTGCCACCGATATTGACAGCTCTGGAGGTTATGGACAATCCAATCAGATTGGTTCTGGAGGTAGCGCAGCATCTGGGAGAGAATATGGTGAGGACAATTGCTATGGATGGGACTGAAGGGCTTGTGAGAGGACAGAGGGTTCTCAATACTGGCTCTCCTATCACTGTAATTACCCTTTCCCTCTCCTATTGGATACATTTACTAATATGTGTGCGTGGGTTTGTGTGTTTATGCATGTAGTTTTTGAGAATATTGCAGTGTTGGTCATAATATGTGTGTGTGGGTTTGTGTGTGTATGCGTGTAGTTTTTGAGAATATTACATTGTTGGTCATACTTTCTGGNGTGTGGGTTTGTGTGTTTATGCATGTAGTTTTTGAGAATATTGCAGTGTTGGTCATAATATGTGTGTGTGTGTATGCGTGTAGTTTTTGAGAATATTACATTGTTGGTCATACTTTCTGGGTTGTAATTGATGAGATTGCCCATGACGGTTTGGTTCTATGATTCGTAGTATGCATCCACTTGTTTTCTGATAAGAGAATTGTATCCTTAATCTAAATGGGGCCTTCAGCATTATGTTCCTGTGTTTCACCCGTAGATTAATTGTTTCGGCGAAATGGGCAATGTAAAATGGCCTTTCTCATTTCTTTTTTGTCCGCATTCTTCAGTGCTTAATGGTTGATTCTTACATATGATTTTCACAACCATGGTTCATGTTGGCAGGTGCCTGTTGGGAGAGCTACACTAGGTCGTATTATGAATGTTATTGGAGAGCCCATTGATGAGAAGGGTGAAATGAGTATGTCTTCTTTATTTCTTTAAAACCTCGCTAGTATTCTGTTACTCTTTTTTCCCTTTACTCGTTTGTTCTTCATATTCAGTTGGTTGATGCTTTCTTCTTTATTTTTCTTGTCTGTTCTTGTAAATTTTTTCTATGCCATAGAAACGGATCACTTCCTCCCAATCCATCGAGAAGCTCCAGCCTTTGTTGAGCAAGCAACGGAACAACAGATTCTTGTTACTGGAATTAAGGTGATTTTTCCTAAATATGTGCAATCATTATATTCTGGTACTAATCTGTGGGCCTGTGAACTCATGAAAGGTGACCCATGTTTGCCATCACCTGTCCCCTATGGTTTTGGTGCTGCCTTCATGTTCTTGAGTTACAGCGGCTCTGGCACACGGTTTTCTGTTTGTGTAGTTACAAAAAAATGAGATACATAAAGAACTATGAGAGTAGGAAGACAGTAAGAGAGTTAGATATGTACCATGGTTATGGACGGTTAATTATGGTTAAATGCAGTTAGATTGGAAGTTTTGAGTGGTTAAGTACGATTAAGTGCAGTTACAGTTGAAATTAGCAGTGACTGAGAGAATAAAGTAGGAATAGTGTAGAAATTTAAGAAGTGGACACCAAACCCCTTCCTCTCCTTTTATTAATAATGTAGATGTCTATGTCTTTTGTGACCCTATAATTTTGTCTAAGTTGAGCCATTATAGGTCGTGGATCTACTCGCACCATATCAAAGAGGTGGAAAGATTGGGCTCTTTGGTGGTGCCGGTGTTGGAAAGACGGTGCTTATCATGGAACTTATTAACAATGTTGCTAAGGCACATGGTTGGTGTTCATTTGCATTTTGGATGATGATATTTACTTATTTTTGCATTATTTCCTGATTTTTTTTTTCTCTGGATAAGGTGGTTTTTCTGTATTTGCTGGTGTTGGTGAGCGTACTCGAGAAGGCAATGATTTATACAGAGAAATGATTGAGAGTGGTGTTATTAAGCTTGGAGATAAGCAGGTCCTTGTGCTGGAAGTTTTTACATTTGTTTCATTCTGTTCCTTGGTTTTTTTGGGGTTGCATAAATGTTAGCCTGATTTTTCTCTTTGTGTTCTAATGATTTTACAGAGTGAAAGCAAGTGTGCTCTGGTGTACGGTCAAATGANGCAAGTTTTTACATTTGTTTCATTCTGTTCCTTGGTTTTTTTGGGGTTGCATAAATGTTAGCCTGATTTTTCTCTTTATGTTCTAATGATTTTACAGAGTGAAAGCAAGTGTGCTCTGGTGTACGGTCAAATGAATGNTCATTGGAGAGCCCATTGATGAGAAGGGTGAAATGAGTATGTCTTCTTTATTTCTTTAAAACCTCACTAGTATTCTTTTACTCTTTTTTCCCTTTACTCGTTTGTTCTTCATATTCAGTTGGTTGATGCTTTCTTCTTTATTTTTCTTGTCTGTTCTTGTAAATTTTTTCTATGCCATAGAAACGGATCACTTCCTCCCAATCCATCGAGAAGCTCCAGCCTTTGTTGAGCAAGCAACGGAACAACAGATTCTTGTTACTGGAATTAAGGTGATTTTTCCTAAATTTGTGCAATCATTATATTCTGGTACTAATCTGTGGGCCTGTGAACTCATGAAAGGTGACCCATGTTTGCCATCACCTGTCCCCTATGGTTTTGGTGCTGCCTTCATGTTCTTGAGTTACAGCGGCTCTGGCACACGGTTTTCTGTTTNCGGCCTTTGTTGAGCAAGCAACGGAACAACAGATTCTTGTTACTGGAATTAAGGTGATTTTTCCTAAATATGTGCAATCATTATATTCTGGTACTAATCTGTGGGCCTGTGAACTCATGAAAGGTGACCCATGTTTGCCATCACCTGTCCCCTATGGTTTTGGTGCTGCCTTCATGTTCTTGAGTTACAGCGGCTCTGGCACACGGTTTTCTGTTTGTGTAGTTACAAAAAAATGAGATACATAAAGAACTATGAGAGTAGGAAGACAGTAAGAGAGTTAGATATGTACCATGGTTATGGACGGTTAATTATGGTTAAATGCAGTTAGATTGGAAGTTTTGAGTGGTTAAGTACGATTAAGTGCAGTTACAGTTGAAATTAGCAGTGACTGAGAGAATAAAGTAGGAATAGTGTAGAAATTTAAGAAGTGGACACCAAACCCCTTCCTCTCCTTTTATTAATAATGTAGATGTCTATGTCTTTTGTGACCCTATAATTTTGTCTAAGTTGAGCCATTATAGGTCGTGGATCTACTCGCACCATATCAAAGAGGTGGAAAGATTGGGCTCTTTGGTGGTGCCGGTGTTGGAAAGACGGTGCTTATCATGGAACTTATTAACAATGTTGCTAAGGCACATGGTTGGTGTTCATTTGCATTTTGGATGATGATATTTACTTATTTTTGCATTATTTCCTGATTTTTTTTTTCTCTGGATAAGGTGGTTTTTCTGTATTTGCTGGTGTTGGTGAGCGTACTCGAGAAGGCAATGATTTATACAGAGAAATGATTGAGAGTGGTGTTATTAAGCTTGGAGATAAGCAGGTCCTTGTGCTGGAAGTTTTTACATTTGTTTCATTCTGTTCCTTGGTTTTTTTGGGGTTGCATAAATGTTAGCCTGATTTTTCTCTTTGTGTTCTAATGATTTTACAGAGTGAAAGCAAGTGTGCTCTGGTGTACGGTCAAATGAATGAGCCTCCTGGTGCTCGAGCTCGTGTTGGTCTTACTGGGCTGACAGTTGCTGAGCACTTCCGGGATGCAGAAGGACAAGATGTTCTGCTGTTCATTGACAACATCTTCCGTTTCACTCAAGTAATGGGCCTATGAAGGATCTTGTTCTTGATCTGTGCTTCTACTGCATTAAATAGTACTTAGTGAGTTCTAATTTATGTTCTTTTTTTTCTGGTATGTAGGCTAACTCCGAGGTCTCTGCTTTGCTTGGTCGTATCCCTTCTGCTGTTGGTTACCAACCAACTTTGGCTACAGATCTTGGTGGCCTTCAAGAACGTATTACTACTACGAAGAAAGGATCCATTACATCTGTCCAAGCTATATATGTGCCTGCTGATGACTTGACAGATCCAGCTCCTGCAACCACTTTTGCCCATCTTGATGCTACGACTGTGTTGTCCCGTCAGGTATTTAGCACTTAAAACACAGATGTTGAGCTAAGCATTTCTGTTTTAGATTGAATTTTTGTGACTTTGCAGTTGTCTCTCTGTGCAGATTTCTGAGCTTGGTATTTATCCAGCGGTTGATCCATTAGATTCCACATCCCGTATGCTTTCTCCTCATATATTAGGTGATGAACATTATAATACTGCTCGTGGTGTGCAAAAGGTTCTCCAAAATTACAAGAACCTTCAAGATATTATTGCTATTTTGGGCATGGATGAGCTTAGTGAAGACGACAAGCTTACTGTTGCTCGTGCACGTAAAATTCAACGGTTCTTGAGCCAACCTTTCCATGTTGCTGAAGTGTTCACAGGTGCCCCAGGAAAATACGTGGAGCTGAAAGAGAGCGTTGCTAGTTTCCAGGTGATTAAGACATGCCGGCTCATTTTGTTTTCATGAGTTGGGCCTTTTTCCTTGTTTCTGATATAACAATGAGCATCAAAATAGTTCCTGTATTTTTGCCTGCTGTTGAGCCTGCATATCGCTTTTGATACTGTTTTCTATTGTGCCTTGAGTAAACTTTTTGTATATCCTTAGCACCTGCTTTTGCCTATCATAGTTCTCAGAACTTACATTGGCAAATGGCTTTGTGGTAACTACTTGCCTAATTGGATGATGGTGATATGTACATGTCAATGGCAAAGAACCATTAAAGTCGGCTAATTCATCTTTTATTCAGAGCGCTGTCCATTGTTTTGGTTAGTTCAAGAGCTCTGGATACTAGCTCTGCTCTAGTTGCTTTTCTATTTGAGTGAATCACTAAGTGAAGCATTTCTGAAAGCTTGCTTTCGATGGCAAGTCAAGAACAACCAAACCAAGGGGCAGGAATGATTTTCCAATGATAAAAACAAACAAATTAGTTGTTAAGTGCTGCGAGAAACATGATGGACAGAATAAGCAATTCATTTATGGACTCTAAATGGCCCATGCCTATTTTAGTTAGACTCGAAAAAAGTTTTCATGCTTCGTTAAATGACACTAATCAATCTGGTAAAAGCTGGTCTATGTTTGCAGCATTTCATGTTTCTAAGACGATTGTTCAAAATTTAGCAGAAGGCTGATTTTGTGAAGAAAAACCACAGTTTTCAACTAACTTTAGTTGCACTATAGAGGCTGCTTCTTTGTCCATAGGTTTATGCATTCTTAACAACCATGGTTGTCTCCTTTATGGACTATGTCTTTCTGACTCTATGACCATACCAAAGAGCTATTCATCTGTAGATGTCGTGACCACATACATCCCTTGATCTGTAGATGTATAAATTAACTATTTTTTAGTGTAGCGCTGAATTGGCACTCTTCAGAAAACGGCTCATGTTCTGTTTGGTTTTGGACCATCTTTCTAATAACTAGTCTTACCTCGTGTCCTCCTGATCAAGCAGGTTATATATGATGTTATTAACTTCAATTTCTGATGCATATGAATTTTGAATCATATTTTTGGCAGGGCGTTTTGGATGGAAAATATGACGACCTTTCTGAACAATCATTTTATATGGTTGGTGGTATTGACGAAGTCATTGCCAAGGCTGAGAAGATTGCCAAGGAGTCTGCTACTTAATCACATGTAACCCATTTTTTTCCTCTTTATGCATATGACATGAGGTAAGGCATGCTTCAATTGATTGTGCTTGTAATGACAGCATCATGAAGCTGTAGCCATCCTAAAGGATCGGCTATGACTTGTATCCTCATTTTTATGTCCTTACCTTTGTCTTTTCTCAACTTATGGTTTAAGTTACAGGAATGTAAGCCACAGGAATGAAGATATCTAACAGTGAGAGAGTGGTATGTGAATCTTCCACGTCGTTTCTTCCTCATCTTTCTCCACTGCAAATAAACATTTTTCTCTCTCTTCTTTACCTCTTCCAGAAGCCCTCGATGTTTCCCTCTTTTTTCCGGTCTTTCTCTATTGCTCTCAACATGCGTCACTCCACGCATTCAATTCTCTCTGCATCTCAACGTTTAGTGCATCTGTACTTTTTTGTGGTATTTTTTTTTCATTGATGTCTATAAATTTTTTTTTTTTTGGGTGAATTCATCCCAGATTTTATGATACCATCAAAATTGAACTTTCACTGAGAAATCAGACACAAACACACCATGTGTATTAGCATCTAGAAGAATAATTAGAATTTGTTTACTATTAAAAAGTCTAATAAATTATTTATTTAGAGTAATAAAAAAAAATTGTGTTATAATTATCACGAATATGAATTACAACCAAACATTTTAGTGGAGATGTTTGTTGGATATTTTAATTAGCTTTGGTTGGCTTTCACCAGTATGGTTGTAATACATAATTTGAAGAAATGGACTTAAATAGTTTTCTCAAAATTATGTATGTGTGCTGTTTTTTAATTTGAAGAAGGGAATTTCACTCATTACTAGTCAATTTGCAGGTTGAATCAACCTATTAGTCTGGGCCTATCCAAAATTTTCAAGAATTTTAGATCTATGCATCATCATTAATTTGTCATACATATGAATTGTTATCTTTGATTGTTTTAATTTGTATTGTGATAATTAATTGCTTGTATTTGGTCTGACCTTCATTATGCAACCGAGTCATCAATTTATGGATTTACAATAAAATATAAGTTTTGATATTTGTAAGATGGCTAAAAAATACTACAAATTATTATACTAATTTAAAAAAAGTTCATATGCAACACACATAAGCATTGTATTCTTAAAATTTTTAGTATAGTCATTTAATTATAATTTGATCAAGCAAAATTTAATTATAAAAGTAGTAAATAAAAATTATAATAACTCAAAATAATTCACATGCAACTCACGTTTGCACCAACTAATTTCCAAAAATGAATGTAAAAATAAGTCTGGGTTGGTGTATGCTTCTATTTTTTTTAATCTATATAGTATGATATAATTTGACTTAGACCATAGACGTGTCTGAGTGTATCAGTGCACTTTTTTTTTCTTTTTTTTTTTATCGTATATGGATATTATGAGGATCGTCTCTCACTCAGCATGTGANGAAGATATCTAACAGTGAGAGAGTGGTATGTGAATCTCCCACGTCGTTTCTTCCTCATCTTTCTCCACTCCAAATAAACATTTTTCTCTCTCTTCTTTACCTCTTCCAGAAGCCCTCGATGTTTCCCTCTTTTTTCCTGTCTTTCTCTATTGCTCTCAACATGCGTCACTCCACGCATTCAATTCTCTCTGCATTTCAACGTTTAATGCATCTGTACTTTTTGTGGTATTTTTTTTTCACTGATATCTATAATTTTTTTTTTTTGGGTGAATTCATCCCAGATTTTATGATACCATCAAAATTGAACTTTCACTGAGAAATCAGACACAAACACACCATGTGTATTAGCATCTAGAAGAATAATTAGAATTTGGTTACTATTAAAAAGTCTAATAAATTATTTATTTAGAGTAATAAAAAAAATTGTGTTATAATTATCACGAATATGAATTACAACCAAACATTTTAGTGGAGATGTTNATATAAATGCTTATGCGACTTGTTTGATAAACGTATTAGGAGGAGATTAAATATGAGATCGTACTATATTTTATTTAATCGGGTTTAATATTTTGTTTGGTAAGCAAATTTGATACCGTATTAATTTCAAAATATATACTANTTACCAGTATGGTTGTAATACATAATTTGAAGAAACAGACTTAAATAGTTTCCTTAAAATTATGTATGTGTGCTATTTTTTAATTTGAAGAAGGGAATTTCACTCATTACTAGTCAATTTGCTGGTTGAACTATTAGTCTGGGCCTATCCAAAATTTTCAAGAATTTTAGATTTATGCATCATTATTAATTTGTCATACATATGAATTGTTATCTTTGATTGTTTTAATTTGTATTGTGATAATTAATTGCTTGTATTTGGTCTGACCTTCATTATGCAACCGAGTCATCAATTTATGGATTTACAATAAAATATAAGTTTTGATATTTGTAAGATGGCTAAAAAATACTACAAATTATTATACTAATTTAAAAAAAGTTCATATGCAACACACATAAGCATTGTATTCTTAAAATTTTTAGTATAGTCATTTAATTATAATTTGATCAAGCAAAATTTAATTATAAAAGTAGTAAATAAAAATTANACGTGTAAGTTTAATACCGTATTTAATCTTGTCTTTTATTCATTTATATTATATTAGACTGTATTACTTTATTTCTAATATAGCAACCAAACGAACTCATGATGTTCAGGATTCTTTATTTTTTTTAAAAAAAAANCCGGGTTGGTGTATGCTTCTTTTTTTTTTAATCTATATAGTATGATATAATTTGACTTGGACCATAGACGTGTCTGAGTGTATCAGTGCACTTTTTTTTTTTTTTTTTTTTATCGTATATGGATATTATGAGGATCGTCTCTCACTCAGCATGTGANATATGCTTTTTATTTGATTTTTTGGTTTTATTCTTATATAAACAATATAATAGATTTGGGTTCTTTAATATGTTTGTACTGATTCCAATTTTTTCCTAAAAAAATTGGAATTTTGTTTGGTTTTATTTTAATGGATAGTATAATTGAACATGAAAATGTGTTGATTACAGTTATTTGATATGTTTGTACTAATATGATTTTTTTTTTATAAAAAATTATGGGCCTGTTTGATTTGCGTTTCAAAAAATAATATCTGAAAACAATTTTTGAAAAGAGTTTTAAGAATGTGTTTTTAAAAAATTTTAGATTACAAAACATGTTTGGTTATATATTTTTGAAAATAATTTTAAAAAACAAAAATTATAAAATTTGTTTGGACAATAATTTGCAATTCCCACCTCTCTTCAACTGTCTCTCTCTCTTTCACTGTGCATCAAGACCACTACCACCACCGTTTCTTGAGCTTTCACTATGCATCAAGACCACAACCACCACCAACCGACAACCGGCCAAAACCCACAACCACCACCCAAAATCCACAACCACCTCTGAAATCGAGAACCACCCAAAAGCCCCACCACCATCGAAATCGAAAACCACCCAAAACCCATAACCACCACCCAAAATGTTAGAAAAATTAGATCATATAAAAAAAAATTAGATCTGTNAAATAAATGCTTATGCGACTTGTTTGATAAACGTATTAGGAGGAGATTAAATATGAGATCGTACTATATTTTATTTAATCGGGTCTAATATTTTGTTTGGTAAGCAAATTTGATACCGTATTAATTTCAAAATATATACTAATCATATATTTATTGTATATTTTTTATACGATATACCTGTATTATGAAGGTATTTTAATATCACCAAAAGATGTGATATTATATACCAACTCAAGTGTATTATCTACACATTTACTATTATAACCTCCAACTGATAAAATCAAGTTGTCATAAATGTAACAAACACTGATTGAGAGTATTTTGTCAATTCAATATTAATACGATAAAATAATTTCCTAACCAAACAACCGATTAGATTGAATAACTAATATCTAACGTTTATATTGTATATTACCAAACACTAGATAAAATTATGTGTAAATTTAATACCGTATTTAATCTTGTCTTTTATTCATTTATGTTATATTAGACTGTATTACTTTATTTCTAATATAGCAACCAAACGAACTCATGATGTTCAGGATTCTTTATTTTTTTTAAAAAAAAAATGTGTTTTTTATTTGATTTTTTGGTTTTATTCTTATATAAACAATATAATAGATTTGGGTTCTTTAATATGTTTGTACTGATTACAATTTTATTCTAAAAAAATTGGAATTTTGTTTGGTTTTATTTTAATGGATAGTATAATTGAACATGAAAATGTGTTGATTACAGTTATTTGATATGTTTGTACTAATATGATTTTTTTTTTATAAAAAATTATGGNTTTATTTTGTCATCCATAATACAAAAACAAATAAATGCTTATGCGACTTGTTTGATAAACGTATTAGGAGGAGATTAAATATGAGATCGTACTATATTTTATTTAATCGGGTCTAATATTTTGTTTGGTAAGCAAATTTGATACCGTATTAATTTCAAAATATATACTAATCATATATTTATTGTATATTTTTTATACGATATACCTGTATTATGAATGTATTTTAATATCACCAAAAGATGTGATATTATATACCAACTCAAGTGTATTATCTACACATTTACTATTATAACCTCCAACTGATAAAATCAAGTTGTCATAAATGTAACAAACACTGATTGAGAGTATTTTGTCAATTCAATATTAATACGATAAAATAATTTCCTAACCAAACAACCGATTAGATTGAATAACTAATATCTAACGTTTATATTGTATATTACCAAACACTAGATAAAATTACGTGTAAGTTTAATACCGTATTTAATCTTGTCTTTTATTCATTTATATTATATTAGACTGTATTACTTTATTTCTAATATAGCAACCAAACGAACTCATGATGTTCAGGATTCTTTATTTTTTTTAAAAAAAAATATGCTTTTTATTTGATTTTTTGGTTTTATTCTTATATAAACAATATAATAGATTTGGGTTCTTTAATATGTTTGTACTGATTCCAATTTTTTCCTAAAAAAAT